CCTTGCGTTTTGGCCATCACGTTCCTCAGCTTAGAGGGGGGGCCCCCCACCCTCCCACCCCGGGCACCTTGCCCCTCTGCAGCCATTTCCAACAGGAGCCCCGCTGCTCGGCTCGCAGGAGCTGGACTTGCCCCTGCGGTCAGGAGACATCGCATCAGAGGAACTAGACATCGTTCCCTGAGCTGCTGAGGGCCGATCACCCACCCTTCGCTCCTTGCAGACAGCGCAAACTTGGTTGCTCAGCCCCAGGCGAACCAGACTGGTCGCCGCGTCGGCTGAGACGTTAATTCCTTCCCTCTTGGCCTCTTTATCCCCAGGAGCTGGAAGCTCGCGGGCCGCCCACGCTCCCCTTCTTGCTCGCTGAGCCTCACTGAGTCATCTTGGCGTTTGCCAGCTCTTACTGCTCTTCTTTGAGAAAGTAGCCAGGGAGCAGAGACAAACCTCGCCGAGCTGCCTACACGGCTGTTATTTTTAACCCCGAGCGTGTGGAAAGCAGGGGAGAGGGTTGCGTGGGGCTTTTTTGCGGGGGGGCGGGGGGGAGGATTTTTCTACCTGCGCTTCCTCTTCTCTTGCAAGGTGAGCCTCCCCGTGGCTTCGTGGTCGCTTGCTCCCAGGGCCCAAGCCGATCTCGTGCCACGGGCCGCCCAGGCATGAGGAGCCGTAAAATACTTCTCTCCCCCGTGTGCTTTGGGGGCAAGCCGTGCCTTCCCCGACGCTGGGAGCTAAGCGGAGACGCCTAGTCCTGGTTTGCAGGTGGTGAAACGAAGGTTAGAAGGATCGAGGTCATGGCGTGCGTCGGGGGCAAGGGCCAGAGCCCAAGCGCTGCTGAGCGCCAGCTGTAGGCCGAGCGACAGCTCAATCGTCTGGGCCAAGTCAAGACCCGGGGTCGGTCCTGCGCCCACTGTTGGTCCTGAGCCTCTGCGTCTGCAGAAGGCCACCGCGCCGTGCCCAGTAACCCCGAGGATCCTCTCGGTTTGCTTCTTCCAGGCGAAGTGGGCTTTCTCGCCGAAGACCGGCGGATCAACGTAGCGGTGACCCGTGCCCGGCGCCACGTGGCTGTTATCTGCGACTCCCGCACGGTCAGCAACCAAGCCTTTCTGAAGCGCCTCGTGGATTACTTCGGCCAGCACGGGGAGGTGCGCACGGCCTTCGAGTACCTCGACAACCTCGTGCCGGAGAACTACTCTCACGAGGGCCGCAGCGAGCCGGCCCCCCCCCCCCCCGGGCCCCAACCCGCGGCCGCCTCCGGCGAGGAAACGCAACGCAGCGGCCTCCCAACCAGCTCCTCCAAAGCCAGAAGCACGTTCCTCCCCGAGCCACCCTGGAGCAGAGAGCCCGGGGCCGAAAGATGCCGCAGACAAACTCCAGGCCATGCTGGGGGCCCTACC